CAAATCTTAATTCGGGTAAGTTCGATCCCTCGTTATCGAAGTTAACTTTTCAAACATTAAATTGAAAATAATTCAGATGGCTTATAGTCCTGGTTCTATGTTAAGAAGTAGGTAAGTACAGCGATAAATAGTGCACATCACAGCCAATGGAGAATTTTGAGTTATATTACGATTATTAATTTGAACAAACCATTTTGTTTTTTAATCATTTTATGGTTTGAGGAGAATTTTTTTTAGTTACATAATGACTTGGCTGATTAACTCTTTCCAAAGGTTGATGTGCAATATTTTATCACAGAGCTTTATTTCATCACCAGTATATACTTACCGACAAGACTTAAAACAGGACAAGATGGAGGGAAATAACACAGAGAGCAATGAAGACCTTTCAGGAGTACAGCCTTCAGAAATGAAGCAAGCTATCGAGAAGAGAAGATATACTTACCACAATGAGCTTATAAATTTGAAAAATCGCTTCCTCCGGGTTACAATCATCGTTGACCTGTTCCGAAGAGATGGACCTTTTTCCGTTGCCCCAACCTGAGCTAAATGTCAGCTGAGGTTCTACAAACACAGCAATGGCGGCTATGAAGAAAAACAAGAGAATAACGCGACACATTTTGATTGTACTTCCCAAAGCTCTGCCACACAACGAATGGACACAAGAGAAGATGGTCAGCATTATATATCCCTTGTATTAATTATGGCGAACCTTAAAGGTTTTCTATGCAAATCAAATGAAACCTCAGCAATGTTAATGAAATGCTCGCCCGCTGTATATCACATTTTGTGATGAAGATAATATGTTTTTCAAGTTGTTTTTTTAGATGTTTGGTCATTTTCAGCAGTGACCTTTTCAGCGGAAGATAATACATCATTCGTTCGGCACGTAGGCGTAGGAGGACGGGAAGGTCACACCATTGAAGATTGAAGGGACTTGTTAATGTGCTGTAGAACTTTGTTAATATTTTGGGAATTTGTTTTTTTACAGCAGATCAAAGGATGATTAATGATTTTTTACTGAAAGACAATCGTACAATGACGGTTTGTTTACTCTTTGTCAACAGTTATGATTTATGATCAGTACTAC